GTCTCAAGGGGTGTGACGTCCCCCATAGGAGCTGAGCTCTTGGGGGGGAGGGGGGTCGACCTTCGTCCCCCCCCCTCCACTGGGCGTAGGAGCCCTTCCACTACGCGTGCTATGCCTGTTGGCTGTTCACTTCTAGGGGGGGGGGGCATTCCACGATAGATCGTACCAGGCCCGTCACCCTCATTTCTCAGATTTTAATGAAAATCGGTCCTAGGGGTAATCATAGGCCCCAAAGACGCCTGGCAAAATATCAGACTTCTCAGATCAAAACTTTTTGAGTTATATTGCATTACATTTTTTTTAAACTTCGGAATGTAACGGTGAGTTTGATGGCCTATAACTCAAGAACGGGTTAAGCAACCAACAAAAAGTAAACAACACTAAGCTTGCGATGAATCAAAAATTAATATTACAATTTAAGAATTCCAAAGAAAAAATTTCATTGTTGAGCAAAAACCTTAATCTTTTTTCATTTGCCTCTAATGACTTTTGGGACCAAAATTTTTCACATTTTTATTTTTTCAAAATTATCTTCATGTCATTGCAAATCGACATGCAAAAAATGAGAAAGGTGTTCTTTCTATAAGTTTTTCATTTTCCCGCAAACAAAATGGGTTTCGGAGGGGTTGATACGACCCCAGCACGCCGTTTCGCTTCTAATAGAGCTAGAGCCTCGCGGAAAAAAACGGGCGTGTGTGTGCCGTTACAAGTCGCAGCGATTGGTACCCGATTTTAAGGTCTCAGGTTAACCGGTAGTGTCTGAGGTCAGGTCACGTGACTGAAGTTACGGGTTCGGTTTTTAGTAAATAACTTCGCAAAAATGGCCGCAGAGCCGCGATTTTGGCATCATTGTGTTCGCTTAGCTCAGGTGCATCGAATGGTAGGGGAGACCCGGGAGGTATGGGCCGGTTTTGTGAAAAGGCAATTTTCTTCCAGTGGGCAGTGGCTAGACCCGGGTTTTTACTCTGTGTACGTGAAATTGCCTTTCGCCTGCAAAGTGTGCCTGATATTAGGCATCTGGGATCAACTATTTTGTCTCGAGGTAACTTTCAATAAATCATGTGCTTTTTCGATCCATCAAAATACACCGGGAGGTATGGGCCATCGCCCGGGAGGTATGGGCCGGTGCTATGTTTCATATTCTTTTATCGACAATGAGAATAATACTCGTAGCTGGTATCTACCTTGATATCTCTTAGAGCCCAGGAACCGTGTAAGCGGCCAACAGCTTACTTCATGGAGGTCACTTGGGCACATATGTATTTTGGTAAACTCAATCATGCTCCATGAAAGAAGATAAATCATATTTTCTGTTCGAATGGAATTTGTAGTTAAATTTTTCGACCTTGTGCGACAAAAATAAAACTTATTGAAGAGGACATTTAATGAAAGCATCAGTTTATTGATTTAGGATCACCGGGGGTGGGTGGCCCGAACTTCCCGGTTAGGACGCCAGAATGTGCGTGGCATCTCAGCTCATAATCTTGCAAGAAAGCTTCAAATTGTCTATCCAGGCTTAATTTGCATGCTTTAAACTTTATGTTAGCGATGGCCTGACATCATAGAAGGAGCCTGTTTCAAATTTATAACGAATTTTCTGTATGCACCATATTTTACTCGAAGAGGGCAAAAACGCTTTATCACCGCTCATTGCCAAAGAAGACTGAGGCAGATTTTGGAAATCATGTGGGTTGTATAACGGAATGGCTGCTACCAGTTTATGCGGTCAAATGTGTACAAATACGCAACACTTCTTCAAAACTGTGATGGCCCATACCTCCAGGGGGCCCATACCTCCCGGGTCTCCCCTATACTTTTTGCTAGGGTGAGGTCAACTTAAGTAGTTGACCTCGGGTCAAGGTCAGGTCAGAGCCCCTCAGGTCACGAAGCTGGGCAAAGGGTATCATATGGCATATCATTCGATTCGGAAGGTCTTCCCGAGTCCATTGGTGGCTTTCCCGACTCTCTAGCTCTATTTGATCGGGAGTTATTGACGAAAAACTCGTACGACCCTAGTGACGTCATAAATGACGTCACGCAAGGTTAACAATGCAAAAGTAAAGCATTGGACTTTGCAAGGAGTGCATGAAATCACGATACCATGTACGTGGGATAGTTTTAGATCATTCTCGGCGCCAAAATAACAGTTTTTATATTTCCCCATTGACTTATAATAACAGTGATGTCACGTGAACGACCTGACCTCACGTAACCTTAAAAATTCCCAGATATTTATCGGGGTTACATGAGCACAGTAAATACGTATTTAGCCGCTAATTCGAATTAGGAACGCATTACCGACTCATGTAGCCACCTGCTAGTACGAATCGGCGATCCGATCCGCGGTTACATGAGCAAAGCAAATACGTATCACGATCGGATTCACCGCTAATGCGAATCAGGAGCGTACTACCGACTCATGTATCCACCTGCTAATACGAATCGGCGGTCCGAACAAAATCCGCTGAGAAAGAGGCTTAGAAGCGAATAGGACCAAGATACGTATTACAGGAACTATTTCTTCGCAAAAAGAAACATTAAAATGCAAAATAATAGGTATTTTTTCCATTTTCTTCTTTTGAAATAATATTTTAAAAAATATGTCGGTATTTTGCCAAGTTTTCAACAATAAATATAGTGAAAACCAAATAGTAAATATCCACATAATTTCAGTTGAAACATTTTTCTGACAGCACTACAGACGAATCAAGAGAGGCAATTGCCCAATGAGTCAAAGCAAGACAACTTTATGTTCAACTTTTTTTGTAAAGTTAATTGAGAATGTTTTGAGCAGATTAAATGCAAAAAAGACATAAGATAATAAATTTTTAATTTAGTCACCTCTATTGCTACGGAAGTGCGCCACATTTGTATGCTATTCCGTTTGTAATGCGCATCAGGCCGAGAGCCAAACTAGATCCGTTTGACGTCACTGATACGAATTTGCTCATGTAGTCGGTGCACTGAATGCGTTCTTGGGGAGCTGATGCGAATTAGCGTAGTGCGTATTTGGAACGGATCGCTCATGTAACCGAAACGTCCGAGGCACACGATTCGGGCCGTATTTCACAAGAACTATTCTTTGCTGACTGGAAGCGTCAAAATGCAAAATACTTAACAATTTTTTATTGGCTGCCTCGTAGAAAATAGCAAAAAAAATGTTGGTATTTTGGTTTAGTCTTTGCATGTGAAATAAAATGAATGAAATATTTTGATAGATAATTTTTTCTGACCACCCTGCTGTCGCTGCATGGCGAATCAGTGCCCACTGACTTAAAACAGGAAAACTTTGTTTTCATTTTTTGATTTCATGTTAATTTTAAATGTTTTTGAGTCTATCAAATGATATAAGTATTTAAAATTTAGCTCAGTCGTCCCGGTAAATGCCGCAACTGCGCCATGACTGTACGCTAATCCTATTCCGTTTGTGATGCGAATTACCGGCCGTCGAGGAGTCAGCCCGGGTGAGCCAAACAAGATCCGTTTGACGTAGATAAAACGAATTAGTCTCATGTAACCGGTGCCGTAGATCCGTTTGTGGGGAGCTGATGCGCATTAGCGTAGCGCGTGTTTGGAACGGATCGCTCATGTAACCCCGGTAATACAAGTTGTGAGACCTCTGGAGGACACCATGTATGAGTCCTGTAACTTTCATCTCGGACAGCTATGGTCGTTGGCGTCCAAAACAATGTCAGAACCATACAGCCTTTTTCACCCTCGCGCTTATAGGAAAGAGGGTTGAATGAACCCTCTTTTCACTTTTTTCAGATGACTCAGACTTGAATTGAAATTTCAGTAACCCGTGATGTCACTAGGCAGCTTTACCACGCCATTTGTAAGCTCCCCTCCCGAAATCACTATTCGAAACCGTTATCGTGACGTAAAATAAATACATTTATAGAAAGAATACCTTCCTAATTTTTCACATACTTCTTAACAATGAGCCAAATATTTTTTTAAAGAAATAAAAATTCAAAAAAATTTGGTCCCAAAGTCCAAAAAATACAAATGAAAGAAAACTCGATATGTCATATATCAAAAATAGCGTATTTTTCGAAATTTCAAAAATACATATTAATCTCTGTTTCATTGCAAGTTCAATGTTATATTACATTTGGCATTTGAATAATCCGTCTTTATAGAGTTACAGCCCGCCAAACTTAGCGCTGCAAAGCAAGATCCAAAAAATGTTATACACCATAACTCAAAAAATACTTATCTGATAAGCCTGAAATTGTTACAGGTGGATTCAGAGCCCCTGATTTGATTACCCCTGAGACCAATTCTCGTCAAATTCCGAGAGATGAGGGTGTCAAATTGGAAAAAAGTGGTACGATCTATCGTGGAATGCCCCAGGGAGTAAAATGACCTATAAAACCTATGTTGCACATATCCTATCCAATAGTTCGTCTTCGGTGACCTGGCCTGACCTTGAGCTTAGCCTTTGCATGAGTCCATGACATTGTATGCCCTCAGCGCCCGGGCCGCCGCTCCGATATACACATTAGGTACCCTTGTCACAAGTCAGTCGGCCTTCGCCGCTAAATATGCATCCGCAGGTAGTGGGGTGAGTTGGCGGGCCACAGAGAAACAAACGGTGGCCGCTGGCCGGTCGCTCCTGCTCAAATGCCGCACGTTGTACGGTACGCAGACGCTCAGAGCCGACGCCCCTCACGGACAATGGGATGCTCCTGCCGACCTGCCGAATGCCGTGATGCCAACCTGTCAAAGACCCCAAATGGCCCCTGTGACCTGAGTATGACCCTGTGTGACCCCTGTGTGTGGCCTTTCTGACCCCTGTTCGTGACCCAACGTGTGTGAGCCAATGTGTGACTCTGTGTGACCCTGTGTGACCCAATGTGTGACTCTGTGTGACTCTGTGTGTGACCCTGTACGTGCCCCTGTGTGTGACCCAATGTGTGACCCTGTGTATGACCCAATGTGTGACTTTGTGTGTGACCCTCTGTGTGACTTTGTGTGTGACCCTGTACGTGCCCCAGGTCGCGGTCTGGGCGCCGGCGTGGCGCTGCACCTGCTGCCGCACTACTCGGGTGAGGCGCTGCTCTGCATGGGTTCCGTGGTGGCCGCCGGTGGCGCTGTGCTCTACATGCTGCTCTACTACTGCTGCCGGGCGCTGCGGCCCCACCGCCCACCGTACGGACGACACAAGCGCGAAATGTACAGCAGCAACGGTCAGTGGCGCGCGGTGGCCGCCCGATCGGGCCCGGCCCGCCGCTCGGCGCTGTCCCGCGGTCCCGGCCAGCTGTCCCTCGGTTCCGGCCAGCTGATCGGTTCCGGCCAGCTGTCCTACCGTCCCGCGGTTCCGGCCAGCTGTCCCACCGTCCCGCGGTCCCGGCCAGCTGTCCCGCGGTCCCGGCCAGCTGCTCGGTCCCGGCAGGGCTCGTGACGTTCATGGTGCCGTATTGCCGGTCATGGTGTAGACATGCTGCTTGCAATGTTGTCTCTGTCCGTGGGTATCTTGTCTAACAGTAAAATTGTCACTGATTATGGTATATTGTAGTGCATACAGTGTTGACTCTGTGGGTATAACTATTGTCTACAATAGTGCTGTCCGCGTTCTTCTAGTGGCCATACAGTGGCTGCCTTGTCTAGCGTCCCTTGAAAGTACCGATACACGGGAAAGGAAGTACCGGTGAACCAGCGGCTGAAATCGGTTCGGCCCTCTCCCATCCCTTCCTCCCCGACATCCTCATCCATCCCCAGGTCAACTACTATGGACGTCAAACCTCTTGAGACCCCACTTTTTGCGATAACTTTTAAATGCGTTAACTCTCGTTGACGATATCCTGGCAATGTGCGTTTCAGAACCTACCGAAACTTTTATTACAGGTCATTTTGACGCCAAACGATTATAAAAGGTACTTCTTATTCACTCGTAATGCTAAGGTCAATTCAGGCTCGGGCAGAGGCTTGCGTTCGGCCATACTCGAGCCCCGCCACCAGCGCCATCTGCTCTTGCCTCTTAATGTGGGTACAGGGTAGGTATATACGCTACAGAGCTGGCGGCCGCCCACCATCAAGCCTGGATGGAGCGCGAGAAGTGAGTGACCGGTCGCCGGGCAAGGAGCGCCGGAGGGGTAGGGTGGAGCATAGCGCTGACGTCATTACGTGGCTCCGCTCCATGAGCTCGTAGCCTTTACCCAAATAGCAGATTCGTTCCGTGAAATTTTCATAATCATTTGGCGTCAAAATCCCTTAACCCGCGCCCCGTTGGGCTCTGCCGAGCAACGCGCCCGGTTGGGGGGGGGGCCATTTTGGCCCCCCCCCTAAGATCTCGAGAACCACGCAACATAGCGACAAGCGGTAAACGGCGTTGGATAGCCCCAACGGGGAACTACCTTGTGACCCAATTTTATTGACCTAGGTCAAACCGATGACGTCACAGGTCAGGTCAAAGGTCCAATTTTCACCGTTTACAGGCACTTCAAGAAATGCGTTGTAAAATCGAGTAAAATGCATTTCATTGAAAATCATCGATGGGGAAATGTTCTTCAAACACATATTTTGCTATTTGAGGTCACTGATACCAGGTCAGGTCACAGAGGTCAGGTCACGGGGGGTCACAATATGAAAGTGTCGTGTGATACATGTTTTATGGTCCATTTTACATGACAAATGCGATTATATGGGTCAGGCAGCCTTTGGGGCCAGCTTAGATCACGTTTTGGTCAAGGTCAGGTCAAGGTCAGGTCAAGGTCAGGTCAAATTAGGTCAAATTTCAAAGTTAATATTTTTGCATAAAATGGGTATCGAATCGATGCAGCTCGTCACGGGGAGTTCAATGGTGGTCTTTGTTTTGCCGTACGTGGTCTAGAATTGCTAAAAATTGAGTTCAAAAATTTGACGTCATCATTTTTGAACAGTTTTTTCGCTATAACTTGGCCAAAAAACGAGATATCGATCTGAAATTTGGTATGTATAGAAGAGCGCTGGAACTATCACATATATTCCGGTTTTTTCGAAATTCGGAAAATTTTTGGATTTTTTCAAAGTTTTTCTAAAAATTTCAATTTTTTTTAATTTTTTTGGTCAAAAACCAAAAATTTTGAAAATCCGAGATAGCAGTTTTGTAGCGCCGCTTTTTGTCTACTAGACCATATAAAGAACTTTGAAATTGCTTGATAACTGTAGATTTGGTGAGCGTTTCAAGATTGCATGTTTTTTGCTCATTTTTGCTCGAACATGACCTCAGTTTGACCTCAATAACTCCTGACCTAAGGTGACCTGAGACTTGAAATTTGGTGTGAAGGTGTCAAATTGATGCCCGGGAAGGTACTGAAAATTTGGCGGCGCTGCGCGCCGCCGTTTTCTTGCTATTCAGGAAAAACCACAGGGGGGGGCCAAAATGGCCCCCCCCCAACGGGGCGAGGGTTAATAATAAAAGTTTCGGCAGATTCTGAAACACACATTGCCAGAATATCGTCAACGAGAGTTAACGTATTTAAAAATTATTGCAAAAAGTGGGGTCTCAACTTCAAGGGGTGCGACGTCTGTAGTAGCAGCCCTCCCTCCGTCGGGCATGCCGGCCGCGCCGCGCCGCGTATCGGTACTTCCAACAGAGACTGCGGCTTCTACTTACGCCCGTATGCTAACAAGGAACTGCTTTTGCGCTGTTATCTAGGGGGAAAGATGTCACTGAACTGAAGTCGTCTATCGGGACCAATGCCTTTACTGCAACTTCTGACATCTTGGCCTTTTCAGGTGCTATGTTGAACGGCACATACGCGCCGCTGAAGTCTCGCCACAACGGCGTCTGAGCCAGCGCCAACGGGGCCGGTCACAGCGGCTCCACCGGGGCCGGCCACAGAGACCCGTCACAGCCGTCGGTCACAGAGACCGGTCACAGCGGCTCCGGAGGGGCCGGTCACAGCGGCTCCAGCGGGGCCGGTCACAGAGACCGGTCACAGCGGCTCCAGCGGGGCCGGTCACAGCGGCTCCGGAGGGGCCGGTCACAGCGGCTCCGGAGGGGCCGGTCACAGCGGCTCCGGAGGGGCCGGTCACAGCGGCTCCAGCGGGGCCGGTCACAGCGGCTCCGGAGGGGATGAAGACAGCGGCTCCGCTCCACTGAGGCCGGAGACAGCCGCCGATTTAACCCAACTCGACTCGGGAGGTCGCCGCAGCCGCACATCTGTGACAATATCGACCTCAGGACGGCCCACAACAGAACGGAAACATTCCACGCCTGAAGAAAAAAAAATGGTGCATTGGCTCACTGGGCTGCAGGGCATTAAACGCTGGAGTGATTCACTGCAGCCACCGTAGCGTCCTCTGTGCGGGTGGACTCCTCCAGTGGACTGTGGTGTCGTGACTGACGGACTCCTCCAGTGGACTGTGGTGTCGTGACGGACTCCTCCAGTGGACTGTGGTGTCGTGACTGACGGACTCCTCCAGTGGACTGTGGTGTCGTGACGGACTCCTCCAGTGGACTGTGGTGTCATGACTGACGGACTCCTCCAGTGGACTGTGGTGTCGTGACGGACTCATCCAGTGGACTGTGGTGTCGTGACTGACGGACTCATCCAGTGAACTGTGGTGTCGTGACGGACTCCTCCAGTGGACTGTGGTGTCATGACGGACTCCTCCAGTGGACTGTGGCGCCGTGACTGACTGACTCCTCCAGTGGACTGTGGTGTCGTGACTGACGGACTCCTCCAGTGGACTGTGGTGTCGTGACGGACGGACTCCTCCAGTGGACTGTGGTGTCGTGACGGATGGACTCCTCCAGTGGACTGTGGTGTCGTGACTGACGGACTCCTCCAGTGGACTGTGGTGTCGTGACGGACTCCTCCAGTGGACTGTGGTGTCGTGACTGACGGACTCCTCCAGTGAACTGTGGTGTCGTGACGGACTCCTCCAGTGGACTGTGGTGTCGTGACTGACGGACTCCTCCAGTGGACTGTGGTCTCGTGGCTGACGGACTCCTCCAGTGAACTGTGGTGTCGTGACGGACGGACTCCTCCAGTGGACTGTGGTGTCGTGACTGACGGACTCATCCAGTGAACTGTGGTGTCGTGACGGACTCCTCCAGTGGACTGTGGTGTCATGACGGACTCCTCCAGTGGACTGTGGCGCCGTGACTGACTGACTCCTCCAGTGGACTGTGGTGTCGTGACTGACGGACTCCTCCAGTGGACTGTGGTGTCGTGACGGACGGACTCCTCCAGTGGACTGTGGTGTCGTGACGGATGGACTCCTCCAGTGGACTGTGGTGTCGTGACTGACGGACTCCTCCAGTGGACTGTGGTGTCGTGACGGACTCCTCCAGTGGACTGTGGTGTCGTGACTGACGGACTCCTCCAGTGAACTGTGGTGTCGTGACGGACTCCTCCAGTGGACTGTGGTGTCGTGACTGACGGACTCCTCCAGTGGACTGTGGTCTCGTGGCTGACGGACTCCTCCAGTGAACTGTGGTGTCGTGACGGACGGACTCCTCCAGTGGACTGTGGTGTCGTGACGCACGGACTCCTCCAGTGGACTGTGGTGTCGTGACTGACGGACTCCTCCAGTAGACTGTGGTGTCGTGACGGACTCCTCCAGTGGACTGTGGTGTCGTGACGGGCTCCTCCAGTGGACTGTGGTGTCGTGACGGACTCCTCCAGTGGACTGTGGTGTCGTGACTGACGGACTCCTCCAGTGGACTGTGGTGTCGTGACGGACTCCTCCAGTGGACTGTGGTGTCGTGACTGACGGACTCCTCCAGTGAACTATGGTGTCGTGACGGACTCCTCCAGTGGACTGTGGTGTCGTGACTGACGGACTCCTCCAGTGGACTGTGGTCTCGTGACTGACGGACTCCTCCAGTGAACTGTGGTGTCGTGACGGACTCCTCCAGTGAACTGTGGTGGCGTGACGGACTCCTCCAGTGGACTGTGGTGTCGTGACGGGCTCCTCCAGTGGACTGTGGTGTCGTGACGGACTCCTCTAATGGACTGTGGTGTCGTGACGGGCTCCTCCAGTGGACTGTGGTGTCGTGACGAACTCCTCAAGTGGACTGTGGTGTCGTGACGGACTCCTCCAGTGGACTGTGTCGTGTCGTGACGGGCTCCTCCAGTGGACTGTGGCGCCGTGACTGACGGACTCCTCCAGTGGACTGTGGTGTCGTGACTGACGGACTCCTCCAGTGGACTGTGGTGTCGTGACGGACTCCTCCAGTGGACTGTGGTGTCGTGACTGACGGACTCCTCCAGTGGACTGTGGTGTCGTGACTGAGGGACTCCTCCAGTGGACTGTGGCGCCGTGACTGACGGACTCCTCCAGTGGACTGTGGTGTCGTGACTGACGGACTCCTCCAGTGGACTGTGGTGTCGTGACGGACTCCTCCAGTGGACTGTGGTGTCGTGACTGACGGACTCCTCCAGTGGACTGTGGTGTCATGACGGACTCCACCAGTGGACTGTGATGTCGTGACGGACTCCTCCAGTGAACTGTGGCGCCGTAACTGAGGGACTCCTCCAGTGGACTGTGGTGCCGTGACTGACGGACTCCTCCAGTGGACTGTGGTGTCGTGACGGACTCCTCCAGTGGACTGTGGTGCCGTGACTGACGGACTCCTCCAGTGGACTGTGGTGTCGTGACGGGCTCCTCCAGTGGACTGTGGTCTCGTGACTGGGGGACTCCTCCAGTGGGCTGTGGTGTCGTGACGGACTCCTCCAGTGGACTGTGGTGTCGTGACTGAGGGACTCCTCCAGTGGACTGTGGTGTCGTGACTGAGGAACTCATCCAGTGGACGGCGATGCCGTGACTGTCGTGACCGCACGGCTCGGGCTCTCGGCGGACCTAGAAGTGGTGTTTGGTGTCGGTGCGGCGCCTTAGGTCGCCTAATCTGACCGGCGAGGACCTGCGAGCCGTGAGAGCACTGCATTCCGCGTGCTGACTGCAGTACCCGGCCGGAACGCAACCCCGAGGAGTCCGGCCTGCCGAGATGTGCCCGGGAAAGTAGCACGGCGACCAGCGAGCGTGCCGGGCGCTGTGGGCCACAGTCGCTCCCGGACAGAGCCAATGGTCGGCCCCCTGGCGGCCGACGGGCAGACGGTGTTTTCTGCAGCGGCCGCCAGGGGCGCTGTGGTGACGCGCGCCCCGTGATATGCCCTGGGTCGACTGTTGTCTGTTACGCAGCGATGTGCGGGTGCTTGAAGTAGGAATTTCAGTTTCGTTTTGTATGTGTTGTGAGCGCGTGTTCGCTGCAAGAGTCCGATGGCGTCAGTAAGTGTCGCGCAGCCTGCATGCGCAGGTCTCGTCGTACCTACCCGGCGGTAGGTACCTCCTTCTTCAACAAAACCGAGAATAGCTCGAAAACTGTTCACTTTCCCGAAATTAGTCTTTTGCAATGGATTGGTTATTTTTTATGCTCAAAATGATCAGCAAAGAAAATTAAACCTTTTTTTAAATATTTTTTTTTCCTATATTCCATATAAAATAGTGTTTGATGCGAAGCTTATTACGCGTTGACCAATCATATTGCGTAGTACAAACCCATTGGCTGTAAACAGCATGCTGATTGGCTGACGATGACATGAAGTGGCTGCATTTCTCAACAAGGCACGCATTCCTCTGCAAGGCACTGTTTTCGGAAGTCGGAACGAGAAATGGAATATCTTCTCTTAGTGTGATCGTTGGGCCGTAAAAGGCAAAAGCTTCTGATTTGTGCTAGTCTCAGCTCAAGCTACAAAACTGCTATTGCAGTTCAAAACCCCACGTTAAAAGTAAACTATTTCCTTTAAGGTGGCCGTCCACTGCACTGGTTAGGCGCGCTTCTGTACGCGCTGAACCTATGGGCTGCGCGCCGACTGCGGTAACGCGCGATGAAGTGCAGTCAAATTCGTCGGCTGGTCGTCGCCGAATTACGCGCTGACGAGTTGAAATACTTGAAAACTTTTTGTCACTTCTTCTTTGGGCAGCACTTCTTTGTCGGATCACGATTCCTGGATAACTATGATAAAGCCTTCGAGCTGTTCTCGGTCCTGTCGAAATGAAGCTTAAAACTACCTGCCATCTGGTGAGACGAGGGCTGCGCATGAACTTTGATCTGAATTCTCATAGCACAAAGTCTCTATTTACTCATATACGTGTGTGTTCCGTCGTTTTTATAAATAAATGTGGACTAGACTTTATGCAGGATAAAATAACTTGGGAGGGGGGAGGGGGGGGCACCAGGTTTCCTCATTCGACCTAGTGAGAAGACCTCCGATGACTCGTGCCCACAACTGAATGCCTGCAAAGTTGACGTGTCGTAAGCTTTGTCGACGCAAGTCTTTGAAGTTCAGACAAAGGCAGAATTAATTAAATGAAAAAGAAAATAACAGAAAGTCCCAAATAAAGATGGTGGAAAGCGTAGCTAAAATGACGCTCCCACAGAGAGTCAGTGACCACGTTTCGATGGGCATCACTGATCCGGATCAGTAAAAATGGATTAGCTAATCCAGTATGGTTAGACAATATATGAGAATCAAAATAAGGGATTAACTGATTATATAATCCTAATCCACTTGGAATTATAACATATAACGAAGACTTCGATAAATATAATACGATTTAAATTTGCTGATCCGGATCAGTGATGCCCACGGAAACGGGGACGAGAGTCAGGGGTGACATGTGTAGTTGGCGACTGTCCAGTCTGGTTGCTGTGCCGGTATACTCATCGCCCTCACCCACGCACGTCACGTGATGCCATCCAGCACACTGAGGTTTGTAGTGCAGGCCCTCGCATAGGCGGCGGAACGGGGAGGGCACCGGGTTACCGTGCCACCCTTTGATTTTGGCATTTTAACATTAGCCCTATGGGCGTTGCATGGAAAGAATGGGACCAAAAGTCGGCAGTG